TAGTCTAGGGGGGTTCACGTGATTCTGTTCTGTTCAATTAGAAATGAGCAGAAATTTAAATTGAGGATCCTGGAAATATTTTTTTTCCTTCTAATGAGCTTAAGGAATTTGAGGGAAGGGCTTCTTTGTCTGCTCTTTTTCTTTGTGTTGAGGATAATATGATATCAACTTTCACATCATAATGTGATATTTTGAGCCATCTTGTTATCAAAGAAAGGATAAAGTCAACACACTAGGGCCCATGATGAGATCACTATATCGCTGAAATGTTTCTAGAATAACCACCTCTGAGATTCCTTTTGGAAAAAAAAAAAAAAGTCTATGGCTGAAGCTACTATTAGCTACATTCTCTGTTCCTTCAAGTCAAAACACCCTAGTTGGCAGGGACAAGTGGACACTGCAGAGAGCAGATCATCAAACTGAGTGGAACAGTAGTAGTATTCCCAGATCCAGTTAGCTTGTAAGTGATGAGTTTGGGATTTAGTTATCTTTTTTTTTTTCTGCTATCAGGCATTGCGCAAGGATACACATCTTACTGTCTACCTGGCTTAGATTCTACTATTGACAATTAAGTTTTTCCTTGAGTAACTGATTTGGTGGAGAGATAAAGTCAAATTTCCAGGTCTATAGAACTAAGGATAAAATATCCAAAGGCAATACATTTCCAGACTAGAAAGCATCTTAGTGGCCTGCCAGTCTTCACTGGGAATACCCTTATTTTGTTAAGATTTAAAGTGTTAGTGTAGAGAATGAGATATCAAGGATGTACTGATGGGTGATCTGTTCTAAATTATTTGACAAGGATACTTATATCAATGTCTACCAGCAAGTTTCTGGGCTCAATATTGCTATTAGGTTTGTTACTTTACTCTTATTTTCTGAATACTTTCCCTCACACGTTAGGTGATGGTCAAAATCTAGACCACGGTGAAATCTCTCAATCTGTCAAAACTCAACTCTCAGTTTTATTCTTTTTGTACTAATACTATCAGACCAAAGAAAGAGGACAAGTAATTGTAGATCAATAGACTTTCACAAAGACAGAAGGTTACAGGTAAATATCATATAGCTGCTGGTGAACAACAGGGTATTCTAATCATTCAGTCTAGTGTCTATCCATTTATTCACACAGTTATGTTACAGATAATAGATACTAGCATATTCCAGAATATGATTCCTAGAATGTTACTTCACCTCCCACAAAAGGACAACATATCAAATAAACTTAAATAAACCACAGAACAACATCCTCCTCCTAGATATTCATAATGTGCATCAAAGTATTAAAGGTTTTAAAAACTTATTCTGTAAATCTGCCAATTATAACCTATTATGGTCAAATATATTAGACTAGTAACTCCTTTAACTATGTCTGTTATCCTATGAAGTAAATCATTCCAAAGAATACATTTGGGAAATGTTTATCTCTACACTCTGATGGCACCAATCAGTATTTTCTACCTCTAAGAATAAAAGTAAAAGTACCTTTTAATTACTGTTACCATGCTATGAAGTAACAATAATGAACATTTTGCAACTGTATATTGGAGCAAAAAGCCAGGAAGATTTAATAAGATACTCATGAGATCAATAAAAACTCTTGATCTTGAAATATAAACTCTTTAATTTTTAATATAAACTCTTGAAAGTATCTGAAGATACTTTCTATAATGAAGAACTCCTACAAATTCCCTGGATTATATTTTAACTGGCTCAACAAGAGAATGTCATTCCGAAAATATCTTGCTTATTATGCATTTCCATCTAAAACACGAGCAGGAGATCATATTTAAAGTGTTTCTCAAAACACATTCTATACCAGATCAATCTAATAAAGTGCAAAAAATTAAATGCACTATATCTTTCTCTAGAACACAGGAAAATGTGCTTATATAATTTAAGAAAGAGACTTTTTACCTGATCCCAATGATCATATTAATAAAAATACTTAAAAAATATATTTACACAGACAAATTAAACTTGTATTACAGTTAACCCATGTTCACTACCAATTTATCAGACTCTAAATGTAAGAATAACTATATCAAGAAAACAATACCAAATGGAGCACAAGAAATATAGTTTACGGGCTGGTAAGTAAAATGACTTCATTATAATACTACTAGTGGAATAAAACCAACACACGTAACTGGTACATGCAGGGGAGATACAGCCTAATGTCAACAGTTGTAGCACATTCCTTTACTAGAATGTGGTCACCCGCCACAAGTACACAAGCTCATGCACAAGATCAAGACTTTACATATAGCTGAGATCACAGTTTCATGCAGATAACAAGAGCGTGCCAGATCATCGTACCACAGCGTGTGCGGAAGTTCTCCCCCACCCCATGAGCCACTGCCAGCAGCTGCTGTGGAGTTTGGTTACCCATATCCGTGATATGCACGATGTCCTTTGGAGAATCTTGTTCCCTGTGGCTGTAAGTATTCTTATTTTTATAATATTTTAGTGATGTTTTGCTATCAAAATGTTAAGTACAGAACTAGAAATTATGGAAAAGTAGACTTTTTACAATACTGAACAATTATATACATCTCATCTCAGGTGCTTGCAATAAACACTACTTATATACCATCAAAACAAATTTACTTCCCAGGCTTAAATGAAACCAAAATAATACATATAGTAACAGTGCTCCACTGAGTAGGGAAAAAAATAACAAAAAAATATTACCTGATTTCTTTTAAAAATTTGGCAAAAATCATTCTAAGACGTGTATGATGTATAGCTCACACAGGTAAGTTCTAAATAAAAATAACTCTTAGGATAAATAATTCTCTCACATATTATTTTAAGTTTGAAGGTTTGAGTTGAATAAAAAATTAACCAAATCGACATTATTTGTAATTGACTACATTAGAAAGAAAGTATAGAACAGTCATTAAAATATTTTCCCTCATTTCGCTGTACCTACAGCGTACTTCAGTGTCTTCCTTTGCCTACTAATATTCTAAGTGAATTAGGGTAAAGGTAGACTGATATTTTGCTATTAGGTGACACCTGCTAAGTCACTAATGGTCATAAAAGCATAGAAGCAGAATTCTGGAGCCACAAGTCACCTGGAATGGTTCAGCTCTAGGCCTCTTAGCACTGTATGAACCCAGAATGGTGAGTTCGATGCTTCTGGAATACTCCAGCTTGTCTCTTAAATCAGGCCAGGGAGTGAAGAAAAAGAAAAATACAGCCAACTCTCAATAACAATAGGAGGTAGGATGGATAAGAAAATCTGAAGATCTAAAAATATTTTTAAATTAATAACTCCAATCTCCTCTCTTAGCAAATATGTATCTTGAAATTAAAAAAAAAAATCTGCCAGATTGAAAAAAAAAAAAAGGTTTTAATTTTACCTCTGTTCTCTGCCCCCCCCTCCAACACTAGAGGAGGTACTAACAAGAACTCTATAGTCTGATATATGTGGTTGCAAAGATGGAAACATATTTTGACATCCAGCTTTTCCTATTTGGATATTTAAAACTACTAATATCATATTTTGGCATATGAGGGCCTATCTATATTTTCATCTTTGCATAAAATGGATGACTTTATAATTTAAAGAAAGGTATTTCCTCAGTAAGGAATGATTACTTACCATAATCAGTATCAGCAGTTACATCCAACTTTCTGACTTTGTAAATCTACAACTCAGTACTTACCAAGTAACATTTTCCTTAGAATGTAACATTTGCAAGTGATATGAATTGAAGATGACAATTTTACTCATCATCAGTATAATTCATGACAGGAGCCAGTGTGCCTTAATAAACTGGATACAATAAGACTGGGGCTTGTAACAAGACTAACCTTTCCTGATTCCTATTGTATCTAGAGCAAAACATTGAACTATTCTGCTTCAGTTCTTCTCTGATAATAACCACTCAACTAACCCAAGAGACTAATACAAAATATATACCATGTTATCAAGTTTGTTACATGAATCATTTTAATTAGCAACGAGTAATGTCTAAGTCTAATAAACAAGAATCATGAACTCTGAATACAGGCCACTCTTTGCATACTGAGTGCAGCAGAATCTCTCACAGAGCACTGATGCCTTAGTGCAAGGTAAAAAAAGGGGCAATCCTTGCTGTTCCTACATAATTAGAATGAACTAGGATTTGACCCAAATTAAAATAAAAACAAGTGTATTTTATGACAAAAATCATCAGAAAAAAATTTTCAATAAAGGGTCAAGTTACAAAACTTAAATTTATCATATCCATTAATTTGCCTTCTAAAAAATGTTTGTTAGATTCCGGAAGTTAATATTATATTGGCTTTAAATATATAACTAAACTTTAACTTGTTATAAATCACTTAACTTTCATTAAAGTACCATTCTTCTATTTTCTGGTTAAAGGAGAAAAGAAATACCTTAATTTAAATATTTATATCTGGTTCACCACCAGTCCAATTCTAAAAAATATTTTGCATGAGTTAAACAGTCTTTAATATCTCTACAACAAAATTAAAAGTTTGCCAGTTAATTTTTCCCATTGAACGTAAGCTACCCAGAATCAATTTTATATAAGCAATTTCTGTGTCAACATGGAATTCCATTATTAAAAGCAATATTTAAGAACATTTTGATGTGTTGTTATGATCATCTCTGACAAAAGTAGCATCCTTATTAAGTAGAAACAATAGAACAGGAAGAAAATACTGCAGATAAAATTTGATGAACATATTTTGTGCTTGCCACTTATAATGGAGTACATATCCTTAATTAAGTGCACACGTCATGGAAACTGGCATACATACAAAGTGAGCAGGTAAAAGATCACTTTGTCACATGGTAAGGTCAGAGGAATGACCCTGTCATATACAATAACTTCAAATCTTGGGCTTCACGGTGATTGAAAAGGCATGTTCAGTGACCTGTTATTACTTACAAGTTTATAAATTAGAAAGGTGCAGTGAGAGAGTAATAAAGTCTGAGAGTAATAAAATAACTGTTACAAATACTTAAGTTCTTCACTTACCTCATCTGGATTAGCATTAAAGGTGAGGCTGCCTTCATCCAGCTGCATATACAATTTTCTAAAAGAAAATCCTAGAGGTGGGTTCTTATTGTATATGGAACAGTGACCCCAAGTGGATTTACACAAGCTGTAAAAGAGAAAAATATTACCAAAAATATTACTATATTTAACTTCCTAAGTTAAACATATATACATGTCATAAAAAGTAAAATGAAATAATAAAATTGGATCTTATTCTAAAATATAATTTTTTTAAATTCTGTAATTGTTTTTTATTAACTAAAGCATGATAGAACATTTTGCAATTTAGCAATTTTGATAGCCCGTAATAAATGTGAGTTACAAAGATGAATAGTATTTGTAAATGCTATCTGAAGTTAAATACAAGGTATTAATAATAACAGCAACATTTACCAATTGCTTACTAAGTACAAGACATTAATTAAAACATTTAGTAGGATTAACTTACTTAATCTTTACAACAATTCTATGTTGGACAAACAAATAAAGAAATATAGACATGATGAATAAAGAGTTGCCCAAGGTTACATGGCTAATTTGTGGAGAGACAGGATTTGCAGCTAACGAGTCTTGCTTCAGAGTTTGCAATCTGAACCAAGAAGTGAACCAGGATCTATTAACCTATGAGCACTAATGTGAAATAAAACTGAACGGAAATGGAGGGGGGGAGATTGCTGGGCAGAAGAGGAACTTCATTTTTTTTTTAAATAATGCATATTTAAGCAACAGGCAAATTAAGCACAAAAATAGTTACAACTTTTAACTGCAATATATACATCAAAAGGTGATATGAAGTACAGCTATTTTTAAGGCACTGTTTCAAAAACACTGGTTTTTCACTCTCACAGAGATACAAGATTGTTTAAAAATTCTATAAAATCTAAAATGCTGTCAGTTCATATGTGAAAACATGCAATTTCTATAGATTGGGAGAGCTGTTCAAACACTGTACAGATGTATTAGCTAGTTATTATTTGAAAGCTAAAGTTCTATCTTATTACAATACCTAGAAATTCAGCCCATGTATCAGAAATCATTAAATATAAGTGCATGGAGAATACTGAAATTATATTTTGATATTCTTTAACTAACCTGTCTCTAAATTGCCTGATTTTTGTGTATTAAAAAGCAACTACTTACAGAGACAAACACTAAAATCATTTTATTTTCTGACATTCATGATTGATTTTTGCCTCAAACTTCTCTTCTTCTCACACATACACAATGTATAGAAAAACAAGAAAATATTACTTTCTCAGCCTATAACATCAAAGGATAGGGTAAAATATCTAATTTAATGCAAGAATATCTTAATAATTTATATCTTTCCATTATTTTTACCAACCAAACAAAATAGTTGACTCTGAAACAGCAAATTTAATAACTTGTTTAGAAAATTACCAATATTTTAGCACTCTTTAGCATTTAACTTCTATTTCTAAGCAGTGTGAAAATAACAGAACCTCTCTACATTATGAATCAACATATCCAGGCCTTCCTGGTGGAGCAAGGGGTTAAGCACCCCACTATAAAGCAATCTGCAACCTCTGCAGCAAGAGTTGGATCCCCGGCTGGCCAGGGAGCAACCCACATGGCGCAGCCGACCTTTCCTGACTTGCCCACTGCTCCCCTCAGCAGTGTACTTCAGTCAATCTGCCTGTTCTGTTCCCCACTCTGTCTCTGGAGAATCCTATCACCCCCCACATTTCTGGCCTGTACCCCAGCTCTTGTATGCATAAATAAATAAATCTTTAAAAAAAAAAAATCAACACAGCCAAAGTTAAAATAAAAATGATTCTTTAATTTAAAATAGAAGCAATTTACCACTATGAAAAAAAATCCAAGTGTCATAAAAATAGGTATAATTGCACGGTAAACAATAAAGGAAGCACTTCTTTCAGAAATAACAATCTAGACTTAAACCTCAAATGAAGATTACATTGTGATTGTGTTCCAATAAGCATAGAAATAAACTTTTCTAAGTTCAAACACAGAAATACAAATTAAGTTTTCTGGAACTATAATATGCAGAGAAACAATTACCATAAAGAATGAATCATTTTTAAAGTATTTTCACTTTCTCTGATATTAAAAAATAGCTAAAATGTGTCAATAAGTAAACACAGAGACATACTTCATTTGCAACCAATGAAAACAGTGTGATTTGGAGAATATTTACTGATTTTTTAAAATTCCCATTTCATATGGGAAGCATAATCCAAACCAGGGATGTAGACACTTTACAACTGGAATCAAAAATTCTCACTTCATAACTTATATTTTCAGAATAGACTAACAATTTGTAATTTATAATAAACATTGTTTTGTTTTGCGTAGAAAAACTGGGGTGCAGGCAAGAGCTATGGGGGGTGAGAGGATTCCCAGAGACAGGGTAGGGAGCAGAACAGGTGGATCTACTGAAATACACTGCTGAGGGGAGCAGCAAGCGAGACAGGAGAGGTCTGCTGTGCCATATGTGGGTCACCTCCCTGGTGGGGATCGAACTCCGGCCATAGAGGTGTTAACACTGAGACTTAACTCCTAGGCCACAAGGGAGGCCCTAAACACATCTTGATTGGCAAGCTCTCCTCCGATGGTGATGTCATGTTCTTTTACACTGTCCTTTCCTAACATCTAATTTGACTGTGGCAGCTATATTTTTCCAGATTTTTTTACACAAAACAACGCAAAGTATAAGCACAAGTTAAAAAGAAACATTTCAAAGTACATATAAATCTATTATAAAGAGACTATTTAAGCATGATTATGTTAAGAGATACCTGACCCATGCTGTCAGGCTCAACTTACCCTTGCCAGAGAAGTTCATCGTTAGCAAGGTCTTGCCAAACACACGAAGCTAAGCAGAGGTCAGTTGCATTCAGGTAGGACAAGATGGTAAAGCTTAGCTCGGGAGGCAACATTTCTAAGTTAATGAATCCTTCCTGTTCTTTAGATTTCCTTGCCTTTAAAAGATGGTATATATCAATGCCTCCTTGGACTTGTTTACGATGACTGCTGTTGGAAATGTTGCTGGCAGCCATTCTCCTGCTCTGCTCTCTGCTGAGGTAGCCTTGCTCACTATAACCTTCTTGCTGTAGCTGCTGGTTTCTGGCCACTCTCCACAGCCCCTGACCCATCTGCAAGCCTGGGAGAAAGCCAGAAAGCAATAAGGTTACATTAATAAAGCAACCCATCTTTCCCAATGGTACAACAAATCTCTCAAGAAACATTCATTTCCCAGAATTAAAATTCCTCTTTGAAGCATATTAAAAGGAGCAGTGCATTAAACAGAATAGTTGGAACATCCTAAATGCAAAACTTGGACAAAGTTTCAGAATTAATTAGTTTGATCATCACCTTTATTCCAGTGTGCTAGCTACTTTTAAAGTCCACAGGTGACATAATCATTTTTCACATGGTAAAGATTTAAAAGTTACTCATGTCCTAAAGACTCTTACAAATTATAATTATGTGGACTTATGGGCCAGTATTAAATACGGCTCTGATCAGAGCACAAGACTTTAGTTAAAAGGCCTCTAGACCCTGGTTTTTATCACAACTCAGGCTAAGCTAAGCTAGACCCTTTTAACCAAACTCCCAGATGCATAACAGCTGTTAAACAGGCTTTTAGTTTAATTCTTGCCAGTCTACACTTATGTTGTAGACTGTAATAAAATGTAACATAGGCCCTGAAGTCTAATTCGGAAACCTTATAAATTAGACACCTAGAACTCCATGATAAATAGCTCAGTAATGACCATTGGTTTTGTTGCTTTGACTAAGAGACATATTTAGAGTAATTTTCCAATTCTTCCTCATACAGCCCTATGGACTGAACAGAGGTTCCTGGGAAAAGGCAGATAGAGAGTGTGTGTGTTGCTCCGTCTCTTCACCTCCAGGTGCCCCGCAACCTGAACAGGTCTGCATTTGTCTGTTATAAACACTGGACTTCTTCACATACAAATATTTAGAAAACAAGTGACCTAGGGCCTCCCTGGTAGTGCAGCGGTTGAGCACTGGGTTGCAAAGCTGCCCGCAGCCTCTGCAGCACCGGTTTGATCCCCGGCTGCTCCCCGGCCATCAGAGGAGGGTCCCACATGGCACACAGACCTCTCCTGCCGCCCGCTGCTCCCCTCAGCAGTGTGCTTCTGTCCTTCTGCCTGTTCTGCTCCCCACTCTGGCTCTGGTGAATTCTCTCACCCTCCCGCGCTTCTGACTGTACCCAGTGCTTGTAGAAAATAAATAAATCTAAAAAAAAAAAAGAAAAAAGAAAACAATTGACCTAGACTTCCTATTTGATCTTGATTTTACATATGTAACTTTTCCTGAGCAAATAAATTCGTTGAGAAAATTTGTAACAGAATTGTAAACTAATACAAGTAATTACTTTGATTTACAAACAAAATTTTTTGTTTTATAAACCCAGGTTGACTACTAGTGTGTGTGTATTTAAAAACTGGCAAAAAGCTGCTACAATCATTAAATTGCATAGCATGACCTAGCTTTAAGTAAGATTTTGTTTTAATGTGCTATTTATAATAAGGACTAACAAAAAACAAAGTAAAAAACAAATCACGGTTACCAGAAACATGAAAATTATCAGAAATAAATTGAAAGCATGATCCATATGTGTTTACTAAGTTAGTCGCTGTTGTTAGGATAATGGTGAATATAACAGATCACTTTTTTATCAAAACATTCCAACTAATTTGTAACTCTTCCTCCTGAAAACAGACTGCTCGGATCCCAGCAGCTCAAGTTATAAAGGGGCAGAGGGCACAAAAAGAAGGGACGTATTAATGATTCTTAAATACGGAAATTTGTTTTTGCAAAGAAGCCACAGAAGATAAACTTTTCTTCCTATAACACAAACTAATTAATGGTATGTTCCTAGACTAGTGGTTAAGCTATTTAATTATTTTATTATTTCTTGTCATAGAGTATTAAGAAAAGGAAAAGTTAAGTCATAAGTGGGGAAAATTTTTTTTAAAAAACACACATCAGGGCCTCCCCCGTGGTGCAGCGCAGCGGTTGAGCGCTGGGTTGCGAAGCTGCCCGCAGCCTCTGCAGCGCTGGTTCAATTCCTGGCTGCTCCCTGGCCACCGGAGGAGGGACCCACATGGCGCGCAGACCTCTCCTGCCGCCCGCTGCTCCCCTCAGCAGTGTACTTCTGTCCTTCTGCCTGCTCTTCTCCCCGCTCTGGCTCTGGTAAATTCTCTCACCCTCCCGCGCTTCTGACTGTACCCAGTGCATGTATTAACAAAACAAACAAATAAATAAATAAAATAAAATAAAAGCATGCCTATATAAAAATAAAAAAAAATAAAAAAAATTTAAAAAAATAAAAAAAAAAAACACATCAGATAAAGGACTAGTTAGCCAAAATATACAAAGAATTCTTAAAATTTAACAATAAGCAAACAACCCACTTAAAAAAAAAAAAAATCAGGTGATCTGAAGAGACACCTCACCAGAAAAGATATATAGACAGAAAATAAGAATATGATAAGATGCTTTGTACATCAGGGCATTAGAGAATCACAAATTACAATGATATACTACTACACTTCTATCAAAATGGCTGAAATCCAAAACTTTGACAACACCCTTCTGGCAAGGGTGTGGGAACACAAAATGATACCCACTTTGCAAGACAGTTTGGGAGTTTCCTATTACAAAGCAAAACACACTTTTGTTCTATCACCCAGCATTCATGCTCCCTGGTATTTATCCAAATAAGTCAAAAACTTAAAAACCTATATGCATAGTTTATAGTAGCTTTAATCATAATTATCAATATTTGTAAATAACCAATATTTTCTTTAGTAGGTGAACAGATGAACTGTGGTATATCCATACAATAGATTTAGTTTTAAAAAGAAATGAGCTATAAAGACACAGAGGAACTTTTAATGCATATTACTAAGAGAAAGCAGCCAATCTGAAAAGGTCACATAATGTATCTAACTCCAACTATATGACATTCTGGGAAAGGCAAAATTACAGAGACCAAAAATAATTAAAACAGAAAAAAAAATACGGAAAAAAAAAATTGTAAGGAGTTTTATGTTTGATTAATGTTTAAATGTGCCATGTTGCATTATAAGTACAAGTTTTGACCAAAGTATAACATTTTCAGACTCACAGTCAGAAAGGAAGGTATTTTATTTTCACATGGCTAATTCTGTTAAACTTAGCAAGCAAATATCCAGGGATCACACTGATTACTTAGCTCATTTTGCATTAACTGTTGTCATTTTAGACAATTAAATTATTCTTCTCTTTTGTTTTTGTGCAACTTAAAGGTAGATAATCAAAATGGTAACTACGGTATTTGATGTCTTGACACTTTTATGGCATTTATTATCAATTTCTTTGTATTTTCACTACTGCATCTTTCCAGTGGCATATGGTTAGGCATCTGTTGTTACTCTCCAGGATGTTGCTAGGGAACCCGGAATCAGGGTGATTTCTCTGGCTCTGGACTTTAATGGGGATCACTTAAACTGAGAGCACTGGTTAATGTGATTCAAAAGGCATCCAGAAGGCAGAAAGAGGTAAAGCCAATAGTTGGTTCTTAAGGAAAAAAAAAAAAGAAAGCAAATAATCCAAACTTGATGGGGAGGATAGAGGCTGAAGCTCAGGTACACATAATTCAGACAAAGAGAACCACAAGATTATGCCTCATTTTAAAATTTCCCTACAGATAAATAATAGTACAAATTGCTCTTTGGAGACTTCCTTTTCCCTTTGAAGCAGTTACTGATAATGGGTAAGAACCCAGTATGACAAATCACTTGAGGAAGATTAATATCATAAGCTTATCCTTTGGAGTAAAGCAAGGGTCTCCTTAATGTTCCCTCACCACTCCCAATCTTCCCTGGGGAAACAGGGGGGTAAATTGTAGGCGGAACTGTCGGAAAATTGATAAAATTCTCAGAACATCCACTGCAGAAGCTGTGAAGTCAGTCATGAGGCCTGGAAGCATAGTGCTGTGGACTCTGAAATCAGACGGACTTGAGTTTACATCTGGGCTCTATAGGGGGGATTTGCTTGACTACTCTAAGTTTTCGTTTCTTCATATATAATATGAAAATACAATAATGAAAATACCTTTAGCTCAACAGCCTGTTGTATTAAATAATGCACATAAAATCTATTACAAAGCTAATAATCAATAAAATGATAGCCATTAGTTTATTTTGACAAAATTATATTTTCCTAATGTGGAAATGATGCGCACCCTGGCAAAGCCTATTTAATGATACTTCAATCGTCCTGATGTTCTGCCTGCTGAAGAAACTCATCTTTCTTGTGGATGATGGCTTCCTAAGATTTAGTTATCTGGTATTTCATTCATGATTATTTGTTTTCCATAAATGCTGTTCTTTTATATGCATGTTCTGACCAAACCAAACCAAGCCAAAAAAAAAGCCTATGCTATATTTCACAAAAAATTTCAAAACTCAGAATGCCTCGTAATAGTGCCAGTAGCAAGGCATGAAATAAGTTCTTGCGTTATCATTCGCAATCTGTCAACATCTAGCTCTAAAGGAGATATTAAATATGATTCAGTTTCATCATGGGTTCTTGCATGGTTTCAAATTCTTGCAAATGGGCATTCAAACCCGTCAAAAACAGATTTCAAAATACAAACTTTTTAATCTTAAAGTTTTACAAGATCTTGGTATGTTTTCCAACACTAAAACAATACTATAAAAACATACCATGCTCCATCATTTGGGCAAAAAAATTAAGCTGCATGATGAAATCACTGAATATGTAGCTTCAAATTGAAAACAAAATATAAAAGTTTTTGCATTTGAAATAACTAGTTTTGATGTAAATATGAATTTTGGGATAAAAGTATTACTGATATTTGCTATTTGATCAGTAGAGGAAAAATCATTATTTCTTGGAAATAGCATTTATTCTCCTAAGAGAATAATTAATCTACTTCATGTAAAATAAAATAAATACAATCAATTCTTGCGATTTACAGTAATGATGTTCTATAAAGTCACAGTAAACAGTGAATCAGTGAGTACTGAGCCACAAGGGGAAATACAGGATTAGGTCCCTGTAAGCTTCTGGTCACATTTTTGCCAATTGATGAGTACATAATCACGTTTTATGTGTGCTTCTGCTTAAAGACACCTTATTTAATATATACTGCTAGTTCACTGACACTGACCTCACCAATCCTGAATGATGCTTACTGTACACACCTAGTCGCGTATCTGTGAAGAACCCCACAGTCTTCTTGCACTTACTAGACAGCACTTCAGCACTAAGCTTGGGGCCATTTAAGCAGAAAAATCACCAACAATAATCATAAAAAGTATGGAAAACGTTTATAAACTAAATAGACAATGAAAGGACACTTGTTTATAACATGAGAGCTAAGACAAGAAGGAGAGAATGGACTTGCTCCACTCCAGTAGGGAAACTGTGCCTCCACAGACTTTTTTGCTTTGCACAAGTCTGAAAATGACCATAAAAGTGCCAGGGTATTGACTTGGGGGATACAGATGAATTTCAGTGAGCAGTTAATTTTACAAATACAAAATGTAAAAATAATGAGTCCTGAATATAAATTAATACAATTTAACATGCCCCATGCCTTTTCTTCCACTCTTTGATTTATTTTGTTTATCTTCTTTATCATGGTCAGAGGATCTATAAAATTCTTTCTAAAGTAGCTTCAAAGTCAAATCAAAGATATTTTCTCCTGGTCTCCAGAAGCAGAAACTGTAGTTCATTATTTATCATCTGAGAGAAATAAACAAAATTTTCATAATTATTTATACCACAAAGGAAAAAGTATACTAACAATAGATTCTACAGATGATTTAAATGTTGAAATTCTTCTTTTCAGAAGAAAAATATTGGGTGGAGGGCAGAGAAGTCAAGGCAAACAGGATGATATTTACTCCTTATTTGTCCATGCTATAAAAATGCTACTCAACCACAGATTTAGATATAACTTAGTAAATGGAAATTTACACTTTACAGAGAATGATTAGTACAAAATACATCTTGGAATCCCTTTGTAAACTGGATAAAGAATAGAAGCAACGGTCAAATAGGCAAATGAACACTATTCAAGATTTTCTATTTTTCTAGAATTATGCAAACAGGTATCAATTTAATTAATCCTGAACATTTTGATACAGTAGTCAAGTAATGCTCCTTGAATCTTAGAGATATCACATACTATTTTAAGGGCAAAATATTTATGTTCAACT